AAACATAGCCCGAGTAAAAGGATCACAATTATTCGTACACTTGCTGAGTGTAGGCTTGGCCAGCCTTGGCTATACTTGCCAAGACGCTCAAACGACTGCGCAAATAATTGTAATGTTATAACGTATGTCGTCGTCGAAAGCAAAAACAGAGAATAAAGAAAAAAACTATTTAAAATATTTAAATTCAACTATTCGAGAACACTTTAGTTTTTTAAAATAGGTACGTCTACAAAAACCGTTGACGTTCTGTTGAAATGACATTATATCAAGTTAAACTTCAAAATTAACAATTACTACCTCATAACAATTACTTAATAAGGCAAAACCAAAAAAACCCAAACTTTCTGTATGATTATTTTTAATTTTTACGTATGTTATGTTTATTTATGTTATGTTCTTTAAAATCAAAGAAGCGATTGCCATACATTACTAACATCTACAGATGCATGAGCAATACATTTATTTTTATGAGATTGTATTAAAAAAACCTCTTTTACTTTATGTTATAGAGGCTAGGAGGCTTATAGAGCTTCTTTTATTATAATTTTGGCGATATTAAAATTTATTCTGTGCCCTGTCGCCCTGTGTCCCATAAATGCTGACAAATCTTATATTTCTGAAAATGAATCCGCCCCAAAAAATCCGAAACCCTCTATACGGGGTTGTTCACCACATACGACACAGAGTATTGTAGCTAAACGATGATATTTTTACAAATTGTAAGTTTTGGATTCGATGAAGGACTATTAGAGGTACAATTTAAAAATAATTTTACAAGATACAGAGTGTCCCAAATAAGTAAAAAATATCAAAGTTGTATTTTTTTAAATGGAACACCTTGTATATTATTACATTTTTAGTTTCTACGATTAAAATAAAGGTAAATTTGATTAAGATTTATTATACTTAAACCTTACCGTTTTTGAAATATTTTCAATTTTGTGAAATTGCAGTAAACATTTTAAGGCTTCATTTCTCCAAGGGTATCAAAGTTTTTAATACTAAATATTTACTGAAGTTTATTTACTGATCAGTTATTGTGTTGCAATAATAAAAATAATACTACCTTATACAGAGTGTCTAAAAATTTATTTTAAATAATTATTAGCTTCAAACGGCAATAATTTGTTTAATTTAAATGGAACACCCTGTATATTTTACGAGAATCAGATGCACAATTTAATTGTCTATCAAATTATATTATACCATTTTTTACCTATCTCTTTAAGTTTCCGTAGAAAATGCATTTTCTTGTAATTTAGAACTTATTTATCAATATACCCATGGACTATTGACATTTTAGATTATTTTTAAAGATATACCAAATTTTTAAAGAGTACAGATACTAATATTGTCGATATAATTCGTTTATTTTATTAAAAAATAAAAAAAAACTGTTTAAATATTTGTTAAAGAGGACCAATTAATATGATTCCAGTACTCAAACTACATTAACTGACTGTTTGCGTTGATTAATAATAATTGCTCCAAATACTAAAAAACTGAATTTTGCATGGGCATTAGACAGTGTGATAAAAAGTAACATCTTAAAAATGATATTTCATTTTTTAATAAATGCTTATTTATAACAACAAAGGCTTTAATTTGATAACTTATTATTATATTGATTTCTGACTCAAAAATCCACATTTATTTATAATAATTTATTAGCGAACACAATTAAGTATGTCATTAATTAGTATATGGGCGGAAATAATGGTGTTATATTTAATTAATGGTATACCCTTTTATAAAGATTTAAATAGTTTTCTTTTTGCATACAAATGGGCTAGTAATATTATCGTTTTGCTAAAAACGATAATATTACTAGTCTGTACATTTTGTACATTTGTTGCTTTAAAAACAATCTAAAATGTCAATATTCCATAGATATATTGATAAATGAGGTCTAATTTAGAAGAAAATGCATTTTCTACGAAAACTTGAAGGGATAGGTAAAAAATGGTATAATACAATTTGATAGACAATTTAATTGTGCATCTGATTCTCCTAAAATATATAGGGCATTCCATTTAAATTAAAGAAGTTATTGCCGTTTGAAGCTAATAATTATTTAAAATAAATTTTTAGACACTGTGTATAAGGTACTATTATTTTTATTATTGCAACACAATAACTGATCAATAAATAAACTTCATTAAATATTTAGTATTAAAAACATTGATACCCTTGGAGAAATGAAGCTTTAAAATTTTGACTACAATTTCACAAAATTGAAAATATTTCAAAAACGGTAAAGTTTAAGTATAATAAACCTTAATCAAATTTACCTTTATTTTAATCGTAGAAACTAAAAATGTAATAATATACAGGGTGTTCCATTTAAAAAAATACAACTTTGATATTTTTTATTTATTTGGGACACTCTGTATCTTGTAAAAATATTTTTAAATTGTAGCTCTAATAGTCCTTCAACGAACCCCAAACTTACAATTTGTAAAAATCTCATCGTTTAGCTACAATACTCCGTGTCGTATGTGGTGAACAACCCTGTATAAAGGTAACTCTGTATAAAGTTGTTTTTAGGTGCATACAATAATAGTTTACAAAATATTCGTAAAGTAGTATTGTCATAGTACGTCTCAAAATGCGATGTTCTTGTCTTAGCCTTCCAAGAATGAACATTTATCGAAAAACTTTAATCGAGAACCCATTTTGGCTGCATTTTCTACAGGCCTGGATTAAGGGGGGGGGCTATGGGGGCTATAGCCCCAGGCCCCGTCATTGAGAGGGGCCCCCAAATTAGGAGAATTTAAAATCGAGATTCATAGAGTTAAATCGAGATTAGTTAAATGAAAATGTACATATATTACGAAAAATACCGATTTGTAACAAAAACCGATTTTTCGTCACATATTGTTATAAATCTTCAATTTATTATAAAAGTAACTAAAACTGTATTTTAAAAACAATAAAAAAATAAAATCCAGTCTGGAACACCTGCAACAGTGCAACAGAAATATATTTACCTAGTCTTATTAAATATATTGCAACAGCCAACTTGTTATTCTCATAATGTCAAAAACAGACTCTTTTTCTTTTCTTTTTTGGGCGGCAAAACACTTTCCGAAAAAAATATCAAGATTGCTGCATAGACAATGGCTTGTTCTTCTTTTTAAATTTTTCAGGACGGATGGATTACCGAAAGCCGAAAGCGCTAGGGGAATTATTCAGATTAGATTCCTCTTTTTTATTCTATTTGATTAGTTATTTTTGCATAGCGCATCTATGAAGTAAGTGATTGCCAATAATAGATTTAAGAAAACAAGAACAATAATATGTTTTTGAATTGTGTAGTGTATACCAGTATTTTAAAAACTGTCATGTAGAAAATATCTTAGTGGATCTGCTAAACGTAAGGTAGGAATCAGTTTTAGCCTTATTACGCATTTACTGGATATGATCATATATATAAGAACTTTGGTATTAACAATTCAATTTACAATAACTTTCTTAAGTTTCTTCTTTTAAAAATAAGCGCATTAACATATAATAGGTACCTATATAGAGGCCATAAAATACTATTCCTTTTTTAAAAATAAACTTTATGAAAAATGAAAAAGAATTCCCGTATGCTCATAAAATATAAAAAATTCGAGAACTACTCCAATTTTGAAAATTGCTAAACAATACTCGTATTAATGAGAGATATTGATGTTTTAAGAGCTTTATGCCTTATTTTAAGCAACATTTTTCAATAATATATAGTGTGTTCCGAAACTATTATGCCAAAATGTAAGGATTGGTAGATCTCGCCAAAATATTTTGAAATTGGATACTAATGGTCGGAAGAGCGTCGTTTTCAAAATAGAAGGTGTTAAACTTTTAAGAAAAAATCTATACAGGGTGGTCCACCGAAAACTTTCCACCCCGGGTTTCTTGCTTGTAAATAAATAATTCGAAAAATGCTCGGACACGTCGATTTTGTTTTTCAGGGAGAATTATTTTTTTGGTATTTGCACCCTCTTTGCTTGCACCCCTTTGACGGAGTAGCTATCACCCTTAAAATTTTAAATGGAATAGGGGGTCGAGTGATACCTTGTTTTAAAGGTCTTTTGAGTCTTTTTATATCTGTAGAGTTTGAAGTCTCTATTGCAATTCGCGTTGTCTATTGCAATGTACGCCACTACTTTTTAAATAAAATTAATATTATTTTTGAAATCCCCATTCAATTTACAACATATTTTATTTCTTGACTTTTTTTGTCCGACGCACCGTTTTCGCGTAAAAAAATAAAAACCATTTTCATGCATGACCAAATCGCTAAAATGTTATCATAAATTTTAATGGCAAAATTTGTAAAACGGCAAATTTAAGTTTAAAAAGATTTTTTATTTTCCAAAAACTTCTTTCTATGAACATAGTACGAACTAAAATGCCCAAAAACCTAAATTGTCGTTTTTGAAGTTTTACCATTAAAAATTTACATTACCATTTTAGCGATTTGGTTTGGTTTGGTTTGTTTAAGTACCGTAGGGTGGTATACAGTGGTGTAATAGATATTAAAAAAGATCGATTTTTTTTCTTAAAAGTTTAACACCCTGTATTTTGAAAACGACGCATTTCCGACCATCAGTTTTGGCCAGATCTACCTACCTTTAGATTTTGATACAATAGTTTCGGAAACAGGGTGTTCCTTTTTATACAGGGTGTTAACATTTTTAAATCTACGAAAACTTAGGGATATTTTAAATTAATTTCAGATTCAAGAAGAAAAACTAAAGAAAACTTTAAAATTGACTAAAGTAACAGACTTTTTTAGTATTTGCGAAACCCCTTTAACGTCAAATTCTGAGTTGAATAAAAATCAAGATCATGAACAACTGCCTTCCTGTTCAACTTTAAGCAATATTAGTTTAAGTGAAAATAACAGCAATGAGGAAAAAATAATCCGACCTGGGGGCCCCAAGGGTAGCCTATAGCCCCGGGCCCCCTAGAACCTTAATCCGGCACTGATTTTCTAAGCTATCTAAACTTACCACGACAATAAGCATCCTGATAACTCCTTTTCGGGCCCTTAAGACATTCTCGCTGCACGTTGGACTGCCACCGGTCGACACTGCTTGATAAGAGTTGTTCGAATTCCTGGTTTGAAGTTGCTGTTTTGCCACTACTGAGGCGGGTAAAGTTGTTTGAAGCGATGCTCCATTAGAGGTTATTGACTAAATAAAAGCGTAGTTTTAGTGTTTAGACTTCTGGATTGTTACTTAAGAACTAAATAAACTAACAACATAATGCTGAGTGTCTATATAGAATTATCCCATTTTTGAATAAAAAAATATTAGTTTAGTAGTTTTGTTATACCGGGTGCGTCTCAAAAGTGGCTCACCCCTATAACTTTTTTATTTTTTCTAAATTTTTAGCCGACCATACCAATAGGTATGGTAGAGATTTTTTTAAGATTGGCAATTTTTTTTTAATTTCACTCAAAATGAGTTATTTGGCTCGTAAATGACCTAAATACAAAATATTTTCATGGTGTCTGTCTGTCCGTCTGTCTGAACCGATTTCAACCAAATTTGGCACAAAAATACTGTGGCACCCGAGAATCTGGCCATTAGTTTTTGGTGGGGGTGTGGGGTTGGTAAGGGGGTATGGGAGGGGGTTAAAAATTTTAAAAAATCGTAACTCCAAAATTACAGTAGCTAGCGAAACGCGGTTTTCAAATTAAGATTAGGAATAATATTTGCAACAAAATTTGTAATAACATCAAAATCAGTCAAAGTCGCAGTTTTCGAGATATTAATATATTTTAGTATGGGCGGCTAAATGTGCCTCCCGGCATCAATTTTTTCAAAAAGAACAAGGGTGGTTCATTAGCATATTTGGAAAAGCATTTTTTACGAATAATTTGGTACCACACACTTGGTAGTTCGCATCAAATTTTCGTTATGAACCGCATGTTACAGTTTAAAATAAACTATATGTGAAAATGTCAAAAGTTGACAAATTATACGTCATTCTATTCAGAGTGTCATTTTCTATTGAATAAAGCAAAAAAAATACCGAGGGTGTCATTTAAAAATCAAAAGTTGTAGTCATTTCCGGTGAAACAGGAAGTGACCAAAAACAATTGAATACGTCAATCTGTCCTAATTTATGTCATATACTAACATACCAAATCTAGTTCTTTTATGTGAAAAAATAAAAAAGTTATAGGGGTGAGCCCCTTTCGAGACGCACCCGGTATAGCTTAAGATCCTGGAACGGTTTCCAAACTTGTTTCCAGAGTTTAAAAATATTATTTTAATGTATTGATATTAAACATTTTTTAAAGGTAAATTTGTGACATTAAAAATAAACTTAGATGCAAAAAATGCAACAGAAAATTTTTCGCCAAATTTAAAGCGATATTTTTTTTTTACTTTTAGCCCTATTTTTAATTAATATATTAACGTTAATTAGTAAACTGAATTTTCTATAAACTTGCCACCAACATAACACATTGCAATTTTTTTAATTGTCATTACTTTTTGACGTTACATACTTGCTAACAAATGACGAAAATGGAGCTAAAAATAAAAAAAAAGACTCAAATAACATTTTCAATTTCACAAACAATTTTTTAGTTGCGTTTTTAGCGCATCTGTGTGTACAATTGTATGGTTATATACTTACCCTATCGCTCCTCTGTCTTGTGGATGGTTTGTGATAAATAGCTTGATATTGACCTGAATTCGATGAAGCATCTAGTTGTTTTTTGAGCTGCTGAGAACTGTTCCACAAGCATACAGCTATACGGGTGTACAGATGCTGAAAATTATTGTAACACGTTAATATAACGTTTCTTTTGACAAAACTTTTTTTTATTTCGATTTTATTAATTTTTAACATAACATAGAGTTTTTTACAAATAAGCATAATAAGAACTGTTAGTTCTGGAATTTTACATTTTAAATATACAGGGTAGTGCAGTTTATTCTTAGAAATACTTCCCTAAGGAAGCAGTAGCGGCTCGTGACCCTTGTGACTGGGTAGGCGACAAAATTTTAGTTGCGTCTATGTGCCACCCCCCTCTGAAAAGATCTTTATAGATTGAAGGCAAAGTGACGATAAACGTTTATTTTTCATGGAATCTCTACTATAAATTTTAATGCATTTCAAACACGAAAAATGTCTCTCAACCCAAGTACTTGTAAATGATGTAATAACAAACAAAACAAACAATTTGAAAGCCTCTGGAAATATATTTTCAGGATTATTCTCCTTAAATGATTTTATAATCGAAATTATTATATCTGTTATTAATACCTGCAATTTATTCATTAATTTGCGTTGGTCAAGAACATTTTTGTTTTTAAATCATATGTTAAATGCGTTGGAAATTTTTTATAATATTCTTTAAATTTCGGATCCGCAAGAGATAAATAAAAATAATTGAGATATACGAGTACCTATCTGCAAACCTTATTTCTAAATGTATAACAATATTATCTAATATTTCATAAAATAAAATTCGCAAAGATATTTGACTTAGCCGCTTTCATTAACATATCGAATTGAAATAGCACAGAGACTTTTCTGTAATATCTGTTGTATCGTCTTCTTGCACCGAATAAAATAGCGCGCTTTTTTATTTCGGATTCTTTTAAATAAAAGAATCCGAACGCCACAGAAATCTGTGGCGTGTTCTGAAATACAACCGGTTATATCATTTTAAATAATCTCGGACAAGCCCGAAAAATGTTTCCAATTTGCTTTAAACGTTTTTTGAATTTTCATATAAAAGTTTTAAATGCTACATATAATGTATAATATATAATAAACTACACGAAATGTGATATATCCCCTTATGAAATATCGGGAATATCCCCTTAACTTGTAACATTTTTAGTTGGTTACATGTCTTTTTTATATATAATATATGATGTCTGGCGTATCATCACCGGATTCCCTCTCGTTCCAGCCGGATAATTTAGTTGACGAATTTTTACGTTCTCTAGTCCACAACCCTGTTGTCGTTTGACACAACCCTGTTATCGCTCCGTGGAGGCGCTGTCAACATCGCTTCTGTCAACTCTCTGTGCTGTCGACTGACTTTTGCTTTTAGCGCTCTGTAGCCTAACCTAACCATCCCGGCTTTTAGAAATGGTGATTATTTAAATCTTGCTGTATAATCCGAATCAGCTGCTATTTCAAAGCAACAGGTAAAGATGAAATATTATCCTTTTAGATTCGATATTATTACTGCATATTTTTAGGGTAGAGTTTTGGATGTCCCAACCTAACTTGTATTTGTATTTTGCTGGCACGTTGGCGTCCCTTTTCTTTTGTCCTCCAGAATGTCACATGGAAAAAAGGACATGTTCTTTATTATTTAGTGAGCCCTCGGAAGTAATTCGAGGTAGGTTCATTTTGTTTATTAGACCTTGTTTGATTTTAAACAAGAGTTTCGTATTTTTAGGGTCCAAGGTACGGACTATTTCCAAGGTACAGGCATTATCCAAGGTCCTAGTAGTGTTCCAAGGTACGGGTAGTGTTCCCTTGTACCATTATCTTATGGACGGATGTCCCGTGGACGAGTGTCCCCAGCAGGAGTGATTTATCTTACATATAAAGTGCCCCAGCGTGGATGTAGCTTGAGCCCCATGCTGCTTCGTTCCCATCTATAAGCCAGTTAGTAGTTACGGCTGATCAATTCATGGTGTCCTCATTCTGGCCCCTTTTGTTGTATTGGATGGCCGAGTGCAGAGATGCGAGACCACCTCACACTGCTACTCTTTGAAACAGGATTGCCTCAAGAACAGCTAAGTGTAGATTTAGGTTCTGGTTTTCAGTTGATTTTCAGTCTTAACTTAACGTACATTTTTAAACGATATCGTACAGACTATATTTAGTGGTTAGATTATTAAGAACATTTATGTCGATTTAGTAGTTACAATATGATTTAGATTTTAGGTTTCATTACATTACGCTTTGTAATAGTATTTCTTTTTTATAGATATTATTATTGCACTAACATCATATAAAATATATCAAATTAATTAAAGTAATGCTACATTTCATATATTCTCTTAAACGTTACATGTCTTGTATTTTATCATAGTTGTTTTCATAGATATTTAGTACAATTCTTAACACCACTTTCGTTGACATATAACCCACTATAATAGTTATTAAAATTGTACAATGCTATTTACCATCATAGTCCATCATGAATAAATATAGTCATTAGTTTTAAGTAATATACAACTGTGTTTTCTTTCTCTGTACATGCCTGGCGCCCAATATCTATTTTTTTTGTTTATTGTTATTAATTGGTTTTCTTTCCAGTGAAATACCTTATCCACGACTGCTCTCCGATGAAAAGCTGCCGTTCGCAGTGGTAATGTTTATAAAAAACGTTACAAACTTCTAAGCCAACCGAGCCTCCACGACTTCATGCGAAGGCAACCGGAGATTTCGCCTAAGCCCCGCCTTAATACGATACAACTTCGACTTACGTCGCGTCGCTACCGCACCATGGGTTAGATAGAGACAGAAGACTGCCGTACGTTGTGCATCGACTCTGATAGTTGGCGATGCAGAAATCGCCGAACAAAGGCACTCCAACGGCCAAAATTAATTTGTTTTCTAACGCAGCGGCACAATCAGCGTACGCCAGCGATAGTGAATATTTTAGTATACAAGACCACAAATATTAAAATAATATTGATTATTAAAACACACTCCCGTGTATTAACAAGATCCATCAACCAAGTTGATACAAGATCCATCAACCAATCAGCAGCAAAATTATTATTTTAATTATAGTAAATAGCAATAGAAATTATTGTATTGTTGCTTCAAGAATATTTACGCACAATAAAGTTTCTTTTCTTAAAAAGAAACAATGTCATATTTTAGAATGACCAACTAAAACGATCAAGTTATATGCTGTTTCCGAAGCTTCAGGCATAAAATTTACCATTCCATCCTTTATTAGAAAACTTTACTGAAACTTATGCTAGAAAAATTTGATACAATGTAAATACTTTTGTGGAAGGAAACGTTTATATAGTTTATACCAATTAAACTTTAAGTTACGTGATTAAGCATGACCGGCAGAACGCAGAGTTATCACTTTTACATATTTTCTTTTAATCAAAATACAGGGTGAGTCTGAGCAAATAAGTGCAAATATTTTTAGGGGTGTTATATTTCGACCCCAGGAACATGTCTATAAGGTGAAAAAAAAAGTTTAAACCATGAATACAATTTCGTAGTAAAATACTATGGTTTATTTGTTCAATTTCACTAAATACAATGCTATATTTGATTAAATCACAGATAAAACTTCCAGTATATTCGTTAGTATATATAATCCGTCATACATGACCGGTAAAACGTCATGTCTAGCTTCGGCTTTATAACTGGAAGTATTCTACAATAATATCTTCTTCAAAACTGAAAAAAAAACACTCTGGCTTTTTTTTATTCACTTCAATTTTATCTGAAAATATAGAACTTATTTGTTCGATATCTTCTATTAAAATTGAAAGGGATCAAACAAAAAGCCAGAGAGTTTTTTGGGATTACGAGTTTACCTGTTTATATTCACAAATTCGTAATTTATAAAAAATACAGATTGAATAGTATATCTTCTATTTGCATATTTTTTCCCGATCTGGATCGCTTGAATAATTTTATTATTTATCAAGGGATTCATCGTATTTACTCTATTTGAGTTTGGTATATAAATAAAAAAGTTCTATGAAGACAATACCGGGTGTGTTTCAAACATGGATCAGCCTTATAATTTTTTTTTATTTAAAAAAAAACGAAATTTGAAAAAAAAAATATTTGTTTTTTATTGTTAACCCAGATTAACAATAAATATCTTTCTTTTTCTTAAACCTTTATTCAATATTTTATTTGTGATTTTCTTGGGTATAGGTTTTGTTGGCATAGTTTGTACGCTGTTATATACTAATACTAGCGTGTACCAGCGACTTCGTTCGCGTCGAATTAATCATTTGTAATGGTGATGATAAAGCAAAGCAAGAATTTCCATTAACATACAAACTGGATAAAATTTTCTCACATTTATGTCAGCATGAGAAAAAACAATATGGCGATATTATTATATAACTTGGTAATATTTGAGGGGTCGTTTCATCTCGTTGGAATTTGACTTTCGAAAAATCCGTTTGCCAAAAATAAGCTTTTTACGTCAAGCAGTTTAAGCAATCGTGGTTAAGAAATTACCCAACTTTTTGGAACACCCTGTATGATTTATTAAAAAAATTCAAAATATGTAAAAAAACCAAATAAATTATGCTTGTCCCCAAGCGTTTTCCTGAAAGACTAACCGTTTTTTAAATAACAAATATTGTAATATTTGAGGGGCGTTTTCACCCTCTTGGAATTTGAGATTCGAGAAACCCCTCCTTATTGAACCTCTACACCACACAGTCAATCCGTTTGCCAAAAATCAGCTTTAAACGTCAAGCAGTTTAAGCAGAATCGTGATTACTCAATGGTCATATTTTATGAAACACCCTGTATAAATTTACAAAAAATCTTAAAATATGTAAAACAACAAAATAAAATATACGTGTTTAAGAGTTTTTCCGAAAAACTCACCGGTTTTTAAATAAAAAATATTTTAATATTTGAGGGATAGTTTCACCCCCTTAGAATTCGAGTTTCGAAAAATCCTTCTTATCGAACCTCTACACCCTAAAGTCAATCTGTTTTCCAAAAATCAGCTTTTTTCGTCAAGCACTTTAAGCAGGATCGTGATTAATCAATGACCAGGTTTTTCGAAACAC